TAAAAGCTTAAGGGACTTGAAAATCTCATTAAGCCCATTCAACGCATTTTCCCAGAGGAGATGGATCGGAAAAAACCAGGTGTTTCGGCTTAGGTTCGCTTAGAAACAAGAACGAGATCTCAAACTTGACAAGCTTACGACCCGCCACAACAAACTCAAAACCATTCTTAAAATCCAGCAGCTCATTTCCCATCGAAAACTAGGCCCCTTTGTCTCTATACAACTGATGTCCCGTTGGAGAAACATTATTGGACTTAATTTGGGCATGTGTGTCTTTCTTCACAAGTATCCCTCTGTTTCGAAGAATTTAAGCACCCACTCAGGAGGAATATTTGCTGCAGATTAATCACAAGATATAGGGATTTGATTGATGAGGAAAAAAGGGCTATGAAAGAATATGAATCAGGATTAGTAAGAAGAATAAAGCATGTTGTTAAAATGCTGCAATTCCAAAAGTTGTGTGGTGTCTAGTAGATCATAACCAATGAGAAGCAGAGTAGAAAATGTAAAAACACTAGAATCTCAAACCTGAAATGAAATAACTTCTATGCTTAAAATTTTGATATAATATTCAACATGATCAAAATTGTAAATCTATTAAGGGCACATATGATTGCAAAGTACGACAAACCCAAACAAACTTTCTAGTTTAGGTATACATAAGAAAAAGCCACCGAAGAAATAAGGGTTCAATTTGCACAGCAGACCAAACATTTGGCATGGAAGATATTTCAAGCACACATTAATTGAACCTGTGACATTACAGATATTTCAAGCACACATTAATCGCAACTACATGTAATTGTTGGATTCATTGTCCATTCATTTAAATTCAAGGAATTGATGAATTTCTACTGCAATTGTCTCTAACAACTTCAGAACAAAAAGTATACTTCCCAATAGACAAGGCCTATAACAGAAGACACCAATTCATATTTAAATAATATTCTATTACGATGAAAACATACTTCCAAACTTCAGCCTTAGGTACAGATTTCAAAATCGTAATCAAATAAAAGATCTTATCAGAACTAACTCCAAAAAGGTTGTGCAAGAATAAACAAAGATGGATGTCTATACCGGTAAACTTGCACCTCACATGCTGCCATCAGTTGAGAACTACATCACTGTAGAATTGCTAAAATCTGTTCACAGGCATTAACAACCTTAGAGAGGACCGCTTGTCGGTTTGGATCTCCATTGAGAAAATTAGCCTCAGTTCTTCAAGATTTTGAATTCAAAGCAGGAGAAGTTCCTTGCCTACAAATTTTCTAAGAAAATATATGAACAAATTAGAGCTGAACAAAAAAAATAAATCATACTCAAAATCAAAATACGGAAGATGGAGAGAACAAACCTTAAAATAAAAATTAAAAAAAGAAATGAAAGCTTTTGGTTATCACTCTTGCTAGGCTTCAATCCATCAAGCTTTACAC